CCCCCCCCCCCCCCCCTCCCCCCCGAGAAACCAAACAGCAAGACCCTGATCGCTTGGCCAATGCCCGAGCGATGACTCCAGCTTCCTATCTCACATGCTGTGACCCCACCGAAATGGCAACAATCATCCCTCTCCGGACCCCCCCCCCCGCGCGCCGCCCGCGCCGCCCTCAACCCCCACCGGCCGGGCGGGGGGCTGGTACAGTCGGCCCTGGCCCATCTCCTGCCTTGTGGCTGCCGCGTCAAAGGGGATGCCGTGCTCCTCGCAGATGGACTCCAGCACCGCGATCTTCTGCTCCGCGCCCGGCGCCTCAACCGACAGGCAGCTCACCAAGCCCTCATTCACCTGCCACTCGCGGTAGTGCGCGTCGGAAGCCGCGGCCTGCGCAAAGTCCTTGTACAGGCCGCCGTACTTGGAGGCCAGCATGGAGCGGATGACCGCGATCTCGGGCAGGTCGCTGCTGATGCGCTCCGCGGCGTAGATCAGGCTGCAGATGGCCTACGAGCGGGTTTGTAAGCTGGGCAGGTTGTAAAAGGGGAGGCTGTACCCAAGAGAATACACCCCTATGGTCACATCCAAAGCCTCAGAGCAGCAGGCTGCCTGCTCCCAGCAGGGCTGGGGAGCATGGGCTCGCTCCTGCATCTTTATGGCACCCACCTTCTAAAGAAAATAGATGACAGAACACTACTCCCCCCACACACAGACCCACACACCTCCATCATGTCTGGCGGCATCTCCTTGGTCTTGGCCAGTAGCTCCACGCGGACCGCCAACAGCTCAAGGTAGACCTCCAGCGTGTCAAATGCCTGAAGCAGGAGTGTCTCCCGGATGACAGACTCCACGCGAATCCGCGCATTGCCCTGCTTTCCGGCGCGAAGCAAGTCGGCCACCTCCCTACGGAAGCCCTTCAGCTGCGGGAAGGGGGAGCCGTGAGGTGCGTTGAGTGCTCAGGGGATCCCGTCGAGCCTGACAAGCCCAACATCAGGATTTTGAGGGAAGCTGCCGGGTGCCTGTCCGAGAGCCAAGCGCCAACCTGAGCATCCCACCAGGTCTCCCAAACGCACAGCAATCTGTTTCTTGTTACGTAGAAGCTTGATCCTGCTGATGCCCAGCTTGCAGTTCGTTTTCCTGGACAGGGACACCAGCTTGCTGGTCAGCACAGAGGTCAAGAGGGCAACAGCCATGGCATAGCTGCAGCAGGGAATATTCACTCGGTACTCAGCCCTCACACATCCCTCACTCACAGCTTGTTCTGGTTGAAGAGCCACTTGTTCAGCATTGCCCCGAGGGTTGATTGGGTGCTTCGGAGTGGGTCCCAGCGAGTGCGCTGAGGGTACTTGCTCCTCCTTCTACTAAGTGACTGAGCTGCACTTTGATCCCTGATCTGGTATATTCAATGATAAGAAGTGTACGCAGATGCGCAACGCCCCTTGAGAGTCTCGGCTGCAAAACGCGTTCCGTGAGTACTCAGACGGGTAAAGGGGAGTTGGATCCACGTGCTGCGCGCTAGCTGCTGGGGGGCCCCCGATCACTGCCATCAAACTGCAGGACCACTTTGATCGCTATATGATAAGCGTACATTCTAGGCACATGCTGAACGGTTTGGCGTCCCATCATCGCCTGCTCTCATGCATCAGGACCCCCTCCGGCATTGAGTCGGGGGTATGCAGGCCGCACTGGCGGGCCATGGCCGTACATAAAGCGAAATCTGGCTGTACAGAGGCACATCATGACACTCCAAACCTACCACCGTATCTGAGACTCGTCAGTCCGGGCGTGTGCACCTTGGCACTGCACGTCAAGCCCAACGCCAAGGTGCGGCTTGTTTTGTGGCTGATTGACATGCTGCGTGGGCAGCATCTCCGATGGAGTATGAAGATGGCAAATGCCACAGCAACAATGCTTAGTAGATTGCCAGCCTGATTGGTTTCGAAGTGAGGCCTCGGGCCTCATGCTCTCGTCTACTTCCAAGCGTCCTCCTCCCTGAACCATACACAGGACTCTGCCATCAGCAGTGCAGATGGCAAGCTGAACGTGTCCATCCATGCGGCTCCGCGGGATGGCGAGGCCAACTCCGCCATCACCCGGTACATGGCAGAGGTCCTGGGTTTGCGAAAGGCGCAGGTCAGCCTCATGGTGGGCTCCAAGTCGAGGGAAAAGGTAGTCAGGGTGGAAGGAGCGACTCCAGACGAGATCCTTGCAGCCCTCCGCAAAGCCGTGCCATCCCTCGTAGACGGCACAAAGCAGTCCCAAATTTCATCCTTCTTCAAGCGTGTGTAGTTTACTTTCTTGAATCTCAGCATGCAAGCACTTGTTATGGCCCGTCTATTTGCCAAATGGTAGTACTGCATACTGTGAGTGAGACACATTATGGACCCAGAGCCTGGCCGACACGGGGCTGAATTCAGACGAGAACTAATGTGGGAAAAAGCGTGGGGGGGGGGGGGATCGTGTCGAGGGCGCGATGACATCTGGGCACCGGTCAGTATTCCGCATACGGTGCGAGTGCATCGTATGTGCCATCTCCTAAGGCAGGGTGCTCAGTGCGATATATTTTGTATAGTCAAAGCTCATTGCAAATGTGCAAGGAATCAGTGCCATCTTCCCAAGCTCAATCTGCTAGTACTCGGCAGGCCACCGGCATCGTGCGGAGGATGCGCGGCGGCAATCGCAGGGACCGCCACCTTGATTGTATCTGAGGTGGATACCATGACGAGATCGGATGTGGCGCGGGCACCAATACGCACGGGCGCAGACGTGAGCGTCACCGACCCCAAGAGGCATGAAGTCGGGGGCTGCCGAATGTACACAACATTCTTGGAAGGCCCAGGCCTAGTCTGGTAAGTGATCTTGGGAGGTGAGGAAAACCCAAGAGCCGCTGCATGCCAAGGCATCTGCTTCAGCACATTGGCAGCAGTTTCACTGCGCCCCACATGCCCCCTCCCACAAGGCCGGCCAGACAATCCAAGGAGGCTGTCCCACTGGACCCACTGGACGCCCTTGACGCTTCACGGCTGGTTCTTGAGGAAGGTGTCGCCCAGGAGCTGGCACATGCCGGGCTTCCGCAGGCATTCGGCTCCAAACCTGGCAGACAGGATGAGAGCGGCATTGTCATGGAGCTCCAGCCGCACCCAGGCGTCCAGTCAGAAGGCGGCCCCTGTGCTGAGTGGCAGCAGGCATACGATGTTGACACTGGACACTTTTACTACTACAGCGAAGCCACTCAGGTTTGTATGTTGTTTTTTGGATTACATCTTGCAAGGAAGGGATGCAAGTCCCGGCACATGCATCACGATGGAGTGTGCCTGGTCAGTAGGCCCCCGAGAGCTCGCCTTGCACTCTACTGATGTGTGCCCCTGATCCCTTTCGCCCAACCTCACCCTGCAGGAGGTTCAGTGGGAGGCGCCGCCAGAGGGTTTCCTCCCCTGCGCATGGACGCAGGAGACGGCGCCCGCACAGGCACCTGCTGCGGTGCAGATCTCGTACCTGGCAGAGATACAGCTGTACAAAGCCTACCATGGGTGGCCGACGGAGGTAGCCCCAGAGGGGAAAATGGCAGGGCCTGCAGATGCAGGGGCTGCTACAGAGGCGTGCGCAGAGGACTCACCAGAGGCCATGGACGGGCCGCCAGGCAGCGCCGAAGCGATGCAGCAAAGTTTGAGTAACAGCATGCGTGTTCCTGATGCAATGAGGCCACCTGAGACAGGGTCAGGGCCATTTAAGGACCCGGCCTCGGCAAGCGGAGTGCATGGAGCCGCGGCTGTCGATGCTGGCCCTGCGCTGGCGGGCTGCATGCTGAATCTGAGCGGGGCGCCTTTCTCAAGCGGGGCGCAGGAAGGGCAAGGGGAGTCTGCGGCAGCATCTGGATCGGTGGAAGCCGGCACGACCTTGTCCAGTACGGCTGACGACCAGACAACAGCTCCATCCATCCCTGGGGCAGAGGCCATGCAGGCTTCTTCGCCAGATGCGCCAGGCCATGATGTAGACGCGGTGTGGCAGGCAGGTCAGGACCCTGACGCTGCAACGACTGCCCTCCACTCGCTGCCAGACCTTGGCGGCTCAGGGGCTCTGGAGCCGCTCATTCAGCAGCTGGAGGATCTGGAAATGGTGCGGCCTCTTATTGACAGCTCTCCATATGGTGCTGAGGCCGAAGATGGCAGCGCCGCAGTGGGCGCATCAGGGATTGAACCTGTGGAGCCGGAAAGCGCTGCAGCATCCCCTCCGGCCCCAAAGAGGCCAGCAAAGCAGCGGCAGGCCAGCCGCCGGCGGGGGCGAGACAAGACCGAGCGGCCCTGGTGGCTGCCCAAGGACGTCCCACTGGCCGCCAGCAAGTACTGGCTCCAGCGGTACAGCCTCTTCTCCAGGTGATTGATTGGTGACCCTTAAGTCATTGGTGTTGGGCACATGCCCGGCGTGTCTGCTCCTGCTTGTTGACTTACCAAGATGACCCTGACCCTGCCTGGCCCAGCTGTCTCGGTCCAGACTTCTCCAGCTCCGCAATCATTGGTTGCTCAGTGAAGAGGCCTGGCCGACTCTAGTATTGCCTCAGTCTGCTGTCTTGACCCCGCACAATACTGCTCCCCGTCAACCACCATGTGCACCCCTCACACACACAGGTTCGACGACGGCATCCGTTTGGACCAGGAGGGCTGGTTCTCGGTGACCCCAGAGGTGGTCGCCCAGCACCAGGCACGGGTGGTCCCCCTGGGGTCGACCGCGTTGGACCCCTTTGCGGGGGTGGGCGGCAACGTTGTTGCCCTGGCCGAGGTGGCGGCCGCCGTGATCGCCGTGGAGATCGACGCGGGCAGGGTGGAGCTGCTGCGCCACAATGTGGCCGTGTATGGCCTGGAGGACCGGGTACGCTGCCTGCAAGGCGACTTCTTCCAGCTCGCCGAGGAGCTCAAGGTGGCCCCAGGCTGGGAGTGACGGATTATTTTTCATGGTTGGGATGGGGTGGCACCTGGGCGGTTGACCACGGTGGGCTGGCCCTTGCTGATGCTCCTTGTCTGCCCTAGGAGACAGTCACGGTCCAAAGTGTCCCAGACTGCTCGCGACATGCCAATGCACAGGACGGTGTGCGCCCGCGCCGCGCCCCTTCCCAAGGCTCGGCGCGAGTCAACCTTCCCTTGCATGTCCTCCCTGGTCCGTCTACCCTTCCCTCCCCACTCGACGACCCTCCTCCCCCCTCGTCGCGCATCCCCCAGGCGGACTTCGTCTTCCTTTCCCCGCCTTGGGGCGGCCCCGAGTACAGCGCTCAGGCCGTGTATGACGTGGAGCGCATGGGCGGGCTGGGCCTGTCCCTGACAGGGTTGCTGGACCTGGCCTTCCAGGTCGTGGGCGCTCGGGGCGTGGTGGCCTTCCTGCCTCGCAACGCTGACCTGGCGCAGTGCGCGCGGTCCGCGGGGGGCCGGCCATGCGTCGCGGAGCGCGTAGTGCTCAACGGCTACCTCAAGGGCACCACCATGTACTACGGTGCCGCCGCGCTGCGCTGGCTGGAGCTCAGAGGGGCGGAGGAGGGGGAAGGGGCGGGGGATGACAGGCCACCGGGCTGATTGGGCCGTGCGTGATGGTTGAGAAGAGGGCGGCGCGCTTGGACGGCAGGCTCTTGCGATGGAAGTCGATCCCTGGAATCGAGGCCGCCTGGAGTGGCCCGCCGGCAGAGCATGTTCCTCTGCGCCAGGGCGGCCAACCCCAGGCAGCGGCATAAAATGTAGATCTCCCACAGCGTGACGCTCGATGTAGTGTACAGTCAGCACAGGCCGTGCAGACAGGGTGGCAAGCCAAAAAGGCCCGAGGTAATACCGGCCGGGAGAGAAGGTGCACAAGATCTTGCCCCAAGAAGGGGGGTTGCAGCGGCGATGCTGGGATTCTCAGAGTGGCAGGTTGCGACAGCGGTGTAGTCGCATTGGGGGTGCCGGCTCGCAGCGACAATGCTGGCGCCCAGGACCAGCGTCACGTCATCGTGCCGGCCCAGCCGAGGCTGGCAGGACCCTCACGTCCCCTGACTCTATAACCAGCCTGGACTGGCCCGCCGCACGCCCCAGCTGCCGCGAGCGCTGCGTCGCGGTCGGCGGCCCGCCGGCGGCAGAGCCCTCGCCCAGGAAATGCTGGGCGACGTCGCCCTCTGCATCTCGCCGCAGCGAAGACTTGTACCAGTCCAGGCCCTGCATGGGGTGTGGTGGTCTAGGCAGTGCACCAGATTCCCTCGGTACGCCTGGGCGGGGCGGCGCCATTCCGGCACCAAGGTGGCTCCCTGCCACCGGGTCACAGTGCCACCCAACGCGCGCTCACCTGCACCTCTCCCTGCGCCCCAGGCTCGGCTTCTTCGAGAAGGGGCTGTGGGGTGGGTGGCCTCCTCTTCACCCGCTTGGGGTTGGTGTTCTGTGTCGCGCTGGGTGGAGAAGGGTCGGGATACCTGGGTCCTGCCTCGCTCTGAGTCTGGTGGTCCTGCGGACGGGGATCAGGGATGGAGGATTGGTACTTCAATTTCAAGCCAAACATCCACAGTCCTCGGCTGGCCGACACCAGGCACCCTACCTCCGAACGATGGAACAGCTTGCGAAGGAATTCCATTCACCCCCAAGAACTGATGCGGGGTTGTGCACGTGCAGATGCCTGCAACGATGCCGGACCGGGTGTAGAGCAAAGGCGTGAGTATCACGTCAAACTTGAATGTACATCTTGGTTGGGAACCGACAGGAGTGCGGAGGACGTGCTCCCATAGCGACCGAGCCCACCTAATGCGCAGCATGCGCTGCAGCCGAGGCACTGTGCTATACTTCGTCGTCTACATGCGTCACCATTGGCGGATTTTTTGCGGCACTGGACCGCTGACAGAAACATACAGTGCGCTCTCGATGGTCCCAATGTCCTGCGCTGCTGTATCCCCCTACCCTTTGGTGAAGTGAAGTGGGCTGGATCACTTCGGAGTGCAAGCCAGACTGGCAAAATCAGGTGGTAAGTTGGGGGTTCGTGACATTTCAGCCTCCAAAATCACACATGAGTTACACATCATCGCTCGCCTCGCGCTCAGGTGGAAGGAGAGTATGCGCTCCCCTGCTACCGACATCAGGCTGCCTGCCACTCCCTGAATGTGTGCGGGGCAGGGAAGTTGGACTGGGCGATTCGGGATGGCTGGCCGAGCTCAGCATTGCCAAGCTCTCACCCCAGGTATCGCAGACGCCGAGTGTGCATGAAATTGAAGGGGTGGGGCAGCACAATGCGGAGCCATGAGCTGTCAAGCCACACTTTGTCCATCGCCTGTCCAGGATGCCTGGGATGTGCATGCTGCCCATACGGAGTGGCCCCCTCTCCACCTCCGCCGTCGAGCCGCGATAGCCGAGGTGGTCCTGGCAGGCAGCCTCACGATCGCCACCAGCCAAAATGGAGTGGCTGTGGCATTTTCTGAGGGTGGGTGTGGGAAGGCTGGGCGAGAACATGGTCTGATGTAGGCGGGCACTCCCGAGACTGGTCTCACGTTTGCCATTCCTTTCCGCACTGCAACCCCGTCACCGTTTCCAGGCAGCAAAGAGGGCTGCGTGCTGAATCTGGCGGCCGATGAGCACATTCATGGCATCTCTGCCGTCTCCGGGAGGCCCGGCATCACTGTCATCAGCTCTTTCCTCAGTGACGGCGGCCAGTCCCTCAGGTTAGTTGCCTGCCTTGCTGAGGTGATGGCATGAGGAGGATTGCGCGATGTACACCTTAAGAGAGTCTTCCAGTGCACAGGCATACCAACCTGGAGCCTGGCAGCCAGTGTCTCTGCGTACTGAGCGATGACTTCTGATCCCCTGCTTCCCCCTCCCCTCTCGCCCTGTGCTCACCAGATGCCGTGTTGTCAGCCTGGCAGGGGTCTTGAGGGGGACGCCGCACGACTGGATGCCGCTGTGGACCAACGAGCCCCTGCACAACCCTGGCTTCATCGAGCTGTCTGATGGGGGTGCGCACGCCCTCGTCTTTGACCCAGCCAAGGGGTGCGCTGGCGAGGGGGGGGCTTACCTCTGCATCGATCAGGAGGCCAGAGGAAGCGTCCACTCATCCACCTCTCCGGGCGGCAAGACTCCGTCACCCCACCCCGGTGCATGCAGGCAGTATAGCGTCTGGGACGTGGGGTCTCGCAGCGTGATCTTCGGGTTTGCCAGCACCGGAGTGGTGGATGCCGTCTTCGCCTCGGAGGATGCGGTGCTGTGCATCAGGCCGAGCCCGGCAGGCGGGACGCAGCGGCTGACCCTGCTGGCCCTGGTCGACGGCTCATCGATGCATGTGGGTGGGGCAGGGAGGGGCGGGGGGGGGGGATATGGTGCGGTACTCGATGCCAGGCCGGCCGCTGCAGCGTGTGCGTGAGATCGCCGGAGCACTGTGATGACTTTCACCCTTGCTTTTCAATGCTACTGCCTGTTGTGCGACCGCAAAGCCTTGCCCCACTCAATGACAGTCTCCATGCGGCGGGAGCCTGGCCCCGCGCTCCTTGGCTGCACCGCTGCTCTGGACACCTCCTCCCTCCCATGCGCCCCCCCTCCACCACAGGACACCGTCGGCCCCGGCCCCGCCTGCCCCACCCGGCGGCACGAGGTGAACGGCCCTTGGCTCTTCATGCACGGCGCGGACGGCGTGCTGCGCACGCAGTGCATCCTGCGCCGGGGCGGCCCCCGCCCGCTGCGCGCTGCGCCCGCCCCAGACCTCGGCGGACCCCTGGTCCCGCCCACCCTTCTGCACGCGCCGTGCCTGTGCCCCGGCCGGGTGCTCCTGCTGACCGGGGACAACTCCTCGCGGACCTGGGCGGAGGTCTGGGACGCGCCGGGCCGGCTGCGAGCCCGCTTCCTGCTGGCGGGGCCGCCGGCCGCCGGCGAGGAGGCGGGCGCGCCGCCGGGCGGCCCCGCCACCGCCTACCTCTGCGAGGCGCAGGCCTCTGCGCTGGTGCTGGGACGTGGCGGGCGTGGCGCCTGCCTCCACGTCATCGACCTCGCGTCGCTGACGAGGCGCTGCGTGCTGGAGGGCCACGCCAAGACCCTGGGGCCCGTCACCGCCCTGTGTCTGGACGAGGCCGGAGGCCGGCTGGCCACCGGCGACGCGAGGGGCCATGTTCACCTCTGGACCTGACCTTGGAGGGTCCCGTGCTCGAGCCCTGCACCCTTCGGGCCCGATCTGTAGATCACAGTGGAGCAGGCGCCTGCTGGGCGGCTGATGCGGGAAGGTTGGAGGGGCCAGCGATGCAGGCAGGGCAGCCCATCGCATGCCAGGGGGGAGGGGGGGAGCAGAAAAGCGTGGAGCTGCAGGGAGCCAGGGCCCCCCGCTCGAAAGAGAAATGGCTTACAAGGGAGGACAGCGCCAAGACACCCAGGGTCAGAGGACCGAGGGCCTCTCCAGCGAGCTGATCAGGGCGCCGGGCTGCGCGGCAAACAGCTCCGCCAGCCGCCTCCGGCCGTGCGCCCCCCGGTCGGTGATCAGCTTCAGCTCCGCCAGGGAGATGAGCTTGATGTTGACCAGCCTCACATCCGTCAGCGGCATGTTGGGGATGAAGGCAGGGATGCCTATTGGGTGTGTCATCGAGGGGAAGGGGAGTTTTGGGGGCGAGGAGGTTCCTGTCGAAGAAGAGCGGGCGGCGCTGCGTCCCCGGAAACACAAAGCAGCCCTTCCAGCCTGCTCCTGCACGCGATGAACAGGTGTCGCCCACCTAAGGGCGATTCCCTGCCCCATGACCACCCGGCCCCACCCTCGCAGCGCACCCATGCTGGGGTCGTGGAGGCCGAGCAGCGCCCCCACGCGCCCCGCGCGGTTGACGTGGGCCCCGCGCGCCGCCTCAGGCACCGCCTCGGCCACGCCCTCGGCCTCTGTGGACAGCAGCTCCATGTCATCGATGATGGAGCGGATGGAGCCGTGCCCCGCCGCCAGCTGGCTCACCGTGAACAGCAGCTGGAACTGCCAGCTGGCCTTCACGTCCGCGGGGGAGGTGCCCAGCTCCGAGGCGGGGGTCTCGATGAAGAACTCCAGGGAGTAGCCGTTCACGTTGCCACCACCTGTCATGAGGGGGGGAGAGCCCGAAGGGCGGGCTACATCGAGCGCCTGCCGGTGGGATCTGAGTGGCAGGGCGGATGCTGTTCAGGATCATCACCGCCATCCACCCGTCGGCCCACAGCCCGCAGCTCACTCTCTTGCACGTCGTCAAAGGGGTCCGACAGGCCGTCGCTGACCAGGAGGACGGAGCCGTTGGGGCGATGGATCAGCCGGAAGCTTTGCTGAAGGGCTGGCCACTTGGGACCCGTGGCAGCTGCTGCAGAGAGGTTCTGGCTCAGGGCAAAGGGCTCGAGGGTGCCCAGACTGCTCCATAGCTTCTCCCTGGCGGCCGAGCTCTGCTCCACCAGGTCCTCCACTGCAGGGAAAGTAGTGGTTGAGACATCAACCCCAGCTGCCCTTCTCCCAGGGGCTAGCCCCCCCCGGGGCTCCCGCCCCTGGTCACAGGGTAGCACTAGTCCCGGGAGCATTCTGGGGTCACAAGGGTTCGGCGAGGGAGTGGGGGGAGGGGCATGCGGAGAGTCTCCGCACCTGATACGCCCGACCGTGGGTTGAATAGATTTAGGGGCTGCAAGTACTGGTCCCCATTGGGCTCATTCCCGTTGGTGCAGCACCGGAAGAAGCTGACAAATCGATTGACAGCTTTCATCTCTGGCTGGGGTTCATCTGCGTGCCATCCAGCGTGAATGCCAACCCTCTGGCCCTCGAGTGCCCCGGCCACAAGATCGGTGACCACCGCGTGAGGGAGCTGGTGCAGTCACCCTCTACTCGACACAATGATGCCGCCTCTCAACGATAATGTGCGTCTGGAAGTAGAGTTGGCGCCTCTGTTTGTCGCCAAGAGTCTTTGACGAGGTGTTGAATCTCTTGCAGGCATCACACGTGGAGGGGTCGAGATCTCCATGCGACGCCACAGTATAAAAAGGCAAGTCCACAGTGGATGCGGCAGTGTCCCGTCGGTGTTGCAGAGCATAAAGCACTTCAATCCATAGATACAAGGAAATGAGGCGCATTGCTCTCATCGGTCTCTTGACCTTATTGACAGGAGCCTATGGGCAGGAGGAGAAGCCTGGATCCGCCGTTGTCCTGAGTAAGGCCCTCTGTGAGCTCGCGACTGATATGATTCTGCTATACATTTATCCTGGTTGCCCAATTATCGCTTCTACGTTACACTTGCAGCCCCCGAGAACTTTGATCAAGTTGTGAATGGTGGCAAGCACGTCCTCGTCAAGTTCTACGCTCCCTGGTGAGCTGGCATACAATTCGACCGTTGATCTACAGTTTTAATCGGGCTAGGGGTAGATCAGGCCGTGCTGCGCCCTCGCATCCCCGTCTCGAACTTCTCCGCCAGCCCTTGGTGCTCGATCACCAGATGTGCCCATGGGCAGGCATGGGTGATGGGGCGAGCCTCAGCCACTCAACACCACTGTTTTATCATGCCCATGTTGATGTACCTGTCCATAGGTGCGGTCACTGCAAGCGTCTGGCCCCCATCTGGGAGGAACTGGCTGACGCGGCTGCTGCAGACCCCCGCCTCAGAGGACGGGTCGTGGTTGCCAAGGTCGATGCGGATGCACATCGGTCACTTGGCGACCGCTACGGCATCAAGGGCTTCCCCACCATCAAGTTCTTTGGTAGGGGGAAACCCACAGCCGCTCCTGCAGAGTAAGAAGGTGTCGGGTGGGAAGGGGGGGGCGGCTTCTGTCTAGTGAAGTCAATGACGCTTAAATTCAATGTCGTATCACCTCAATGAGGCTAATTTTGGGGAAGCAGTTTTCCAGAGGGATGCCGTCATGGGCACCACCCATCAAACTCAATACGTGGCGCCATGCTATCCTGTGACCGGCCTCCATGTGCCCAGGATCGACCACCACCCCTCTCCTGCCCTGTCTCTCCCTGCAGCTACTCTGGTGGACGCACCCTGGAGGCGTTTTCTACCCTCCTGACTGAGAAGGTGCAGTCGGATGCCCATGCCCGTGTCGAGTTGCTGGACACCTTTGCCTCCAAGTTCTTGGGGAGTGCCGATCAGGCCGGACTCCTGGCCCAGACAGAGGAGGCGGTGCTGACTTTGACAGGTGGGGAGGCTCGTTTACTGTGGTGTAGGGCAAGACCTGCTTGAGTGGAGGTGTATGAGGGGTTGTTTTGCAGGAGCACGATGGAACTCACCCCAGTGGCATCTGCATGCTCATGAACCTTCCCCTCCCCATGTCACTGCACCGCTGCAGGTGAGGCTCAGGCCAACGGTGCCCTGTACGTGCGGTACATGAAGAAGGCCGTGGAGAAGGGCGCGGCCTGGGTGGACACGGAGCTGGCTCGCCTGGAGAAACTGGCCTCGGGAGCAAGCGCATCCGGTGCCAAGGTGCAAGAGCGCTCTGTGTGGGGAAGGGTGAGGGGACTCGCCTGTGATGCATGGCGGCGCTCTTGCTGTGAAGACGGCGTTCACATGCTCGAGACGCCTCAAAGCGAGGATGAGGGGGAAGGGCTCCGCCTTTGCTCGAGTCTGGATTGACGAGCCGTGGTGCGAATCTCTTCTCACACATTTCACTTCACAGCTGACTGAGATTGGGAAGAAGCTCAGCGTCCTCTCTGCGTTCAACAAGGAGAAGCTCAGCTCTGAGTAGGGTGCAACATTCTCCATGCCGGGCGCAAGAAGTTCACAGTATGTCGACTGGCCCTCTGTGGGGATATACTCTTGATGATGGGCTGTGATATTCTTGGAAGCCTTGCTACATGCCCCCACAGGGATCAAGAGTTGATCGCTTAGAATGGGGCAGGCGTGCCGTGGCAAGGTCCGGAGTCACCAAGACGATGCATATTGCGCGCGATATGCGCATGGGTGTGTGCTCACTCGACGCTTGTGACCATGTCCCCACTCGATTCCCACGTCTCCATCTACGCTGCTCCGCAATTCTGCCGTCCTCCTCTAGAATTTTGTTGTCGAGCTCTGATCCAGCTTTACAAGGCACTGTCGCTGCCAACAAGACGCGCCGCGTCAGCCCCCACCTTCGTCTCGCCTCGGCGAGCCTGAGCCGATGAAAGGGGACACAAACCTGGAGGTGTCCTTCACGGACCTTCGGTTCAAGGTTCAACTCAAGGATGGAAGCACGCTAGAGGTCCTGAAGGGGATCAGCGGCCAATGCAGACCGGGAAGGGTGCTGGCCATCATGTGAGCGAGAGGTTTCGTGGTGGGTGTCAGGGCAGAAGGCAGGCGCATGGGGCAAGCTACTGAAGGGTACCAGCTCAGTAATGATTAATTTTTACAATTATAGTATCCTCTGTGCCTCCATCAGGGGCTCCTCCGGCGCAGGGAAGACCACGCTGGTGGGTGCCGGAGTGGGGGAGAGGGTCGGTGGTTCTATCAATCGCAGTACGGGCACCCATCTCAGAAACCACCCCATCATACCCACCCCTTACACCGTGAACCCTCTTTAATAGCTCGACATGCTGGCCAACAACGTCTACGGGGGCACCCAGACGGGGTCTGTGTATGTGAATGGAGCTCCACGCCAGCGCGCCGCCTTCCAGAGGCAGTCATGCTATGTACTGCAGGTCCGGGGTGTCTCGGCCGACATGCGAGGGATGGGACCTTTCTGTGCTCCTTGTGCCCACGGCTTCTTCGTGGACCTGCCATTGTGGCCTTGCACTCCGACCTGCGAGGGAACCCCCTTCCCTCGCCCCCGCTGGTACAGAGGGATGTCCTGCTTTCCAGCAGCACGGTTCGGGAGGCCATCACGCTGAGCGCGCTGCTCAAGCTGCCCCAAACCATGACCCGGGAGGAGAAGCAGGCGCGCGTGGATGAGACCCTGGCAGAGCTGGTGAGTGTGTGGGCTGCTGATGCTCGAAGATGATCCACTTGCACAAGAGGCTGTTGCGCCGGCTGCCTCCTCACCCTTCCTGGCCGCTGATTCAAATCCTCAGTGATCCCCTTCTATTCCGGCCTCCCCCCCTCCACACCGACTTCCTCGCTTCACCCCCAACACACAGGAGCTGGAGGGGTGTCAGAACACGCTCATCGGAGACGACCTTATCGGCATCAAGGGCATCAGCGGCGGCCAGAAGCGGCGCGTCTCGGTTGGCATCGAGCTGGTGAAGGAGCCCGGCATCCTCTTCCTGGATGAGCCTACCTCGGGCCTGGACTCGGAGATGGCCGTGTCCCTCATGACGCTGTTGGTGCGCCTGGCGCGCAAGGGCAAGACGGTGAGCGACTGGATGTGGAGAGCTTGGTTGCATGGATGCAAGTGTGTGAAGGGGAGGTGGGGAGGGTTGGGCCCAGTGGAATCAGACCGCTGTTATGTAGGCGTTTCAAAGGACGCAGTTGGTGAAGGGGGATGTAGAGCGAAACATTGCGAGGGCTGGCCCTGCCCGCGGCTTGTAAAGCGCGTTTGTATTCTCAGGCCATGATGCGTGGATGTTAGTGTGGCAGGCTGCTGACGGTGCGGCCCCTCATGTAATCCCTTGCCCCTCTCCCAGCCACAAGGTGCACTGCCCATCCTCCCCCCCCCACAAAACCACCCCGCGCACTAAACCGCCCCCTCCCAAAAAATCTCCTCCATCCTGCAGGTGGTGGTCACCATCCACCAGCCCAACTCGCTGATCACGTCCAAATTTGACGACTTCATGCTCCTCGCCGATGGCCGCACCGTCTTCTCCGGCGCCTGGTCGGACGCCCTGCCCTTCTTCGGCGCGGCGGGGTACCCCTGCCCCGCCTACACCAACCCCTCGGACCACTTCCTGAGTGTGCTGAAGGAGGAGGGGGCGCGGGATAAGCTGGTGGCACAGCACGAGGCCCTGGCCGCCAAGGACCTCGAGACGGGGGATGGCAATCTCACCGCGCTGCCCGAGGCGCTGGCGGTGGAGGGGCGCAGCCGCAGCATGCTGGAGCAGGAAGAGGCGGCGCAGGAGTCCCGCCCGGACGCCCCCTTCGTGAGGCAGGTGGCGCTGCTGAGTCAGCGCATGGCGCGCATGTGGGTCCGCAACCCCGTCATGCTCATGTCCGAGCTGGCGCAGTACGGCTTCCTTGCCGTGTTCATGGGTGAGTTGGGGTTGAGAGGAGTTTAATTGGTGTGATGAGCGTCTGCGATCAAGCTGGGGGGGGGTGCAGCCTCTCGCCACACGGCCAAGGCCATCAAGTGCTGCACCCCATCAGAATTTATGCCTGATCAGCTGAGACATCTCCCCCTCCCTTCAAAGGCCTAATGTACCTGAGGCTGAACCACTCCACAACTACGGGCCTGTCCGACCGGCTGGCCTCCCTCTGGTTCGGCCTGGCCATCCTTTCCTTCACACCCTCCTACACCGCCGTCACCATCTGGGACAAGGACCGCTTGCTGCTCCGCCGCGAGTCCCAGCAGGGCATGTACTCGGTGAGGCAGATGGGCGCGGGTGGGAGCGGAGGGCTGCCGGGCAAGGCGGGACCTTGGCACGGGAGGCCAGTCCGTGCAGAAGCATGTGCCAGCCCAAGACTCGGAACCTGTGCCGCCGCCGACGCAGATCCCGGCGTGGTTCCTGGCGAGGACGCTGACCGTGACTCCCATGCAGATTGCCCAGGTGCGGGTCAGGGGGGTGTGAACGAGGGGGTGCTGCATCCTGCAGGGCCTTCAAATCTGGATGTCTGATGTAGAGGAACCTGCAGCTGGAATGTTTGGGGACAAGCTGCCATGTGCCAGGACTTTCTCTACTGGACTGTGTAGTAAGGAGCGTCGGCCAATTATTTGGAAGCCATTGTCAAACCTCTCCACCACCCACGTCCTCACACGCCTACAGACCACGCTCTTCTGCTGCATCTCTTACTGGATGGTGAGTTGCAGGGTCGTGGCCTGGGCAAACTTGCTGTCGCAGGGTGCAAATCTGGCCAGGGTTTCCGTGTGGCCGACTGGGGGGTTGACACATCTGCAAAACAGCTTGAGACAGTCTCCCCAAGCATTCAGTCCCTGCTCCCGGGACGTCCCTCCCCACCCCGTGCTGTTTCAAAGCGCCCAACATGTGCCGCTCCAAACACGCCAGCCCCCACTACCCGCCCCATCCCATTCCCCTGCGCCAGATTGGGTACATTGGCCGCCCAGGGTCCTTCTTCGTCTACGTCCTGGTGTACAATCTGTTCCAGCTGGTCAGCGAGACCATCGGCATGCTGTGCGCCATGCTCACAAAGAACAGCACCTACGCCATCCTGGTGAGGCTGAAGGGTAGGGAGGGAAGGAGGGCCGGACTTTCACCTTCCAGCCTGGGTTTGACACTGTTCGCCTGATCCTGTGTGCGGGTGCTCGCCTCTCTATTTTAAACATATCTTCACGCAACTAGACACAGCTCGCACCCCCCCCCCCTCGCCCCCTCACGCCATCCAGGTCCTTACCTTTGTCCTGCTGATCCTGCTCAGCTTCAGCGGCTTCCTGGTGTCCAGCATCCCGGTCTACTTCAAGTGGGTGGGCAAGATGAGCTATCTCACCTACGCCTACACCGCCCTGGTCCAGAACGAGACCCAGTATCTGACCCTGTACACCCCGGAGGGCGCCCCCGTGGCGGCTTCCACCCTGGTCCCCAGCCAGATCCAGAACGGGTTGTCCATCGCGGTCAACTGCGTCATCCTGGCATGCATCTACCTCGGCTCCAGGCTCCTGGCCCTTCTGGGACTGGTCGTCATGTCCCGCTTCCGATTCTTGTGAGGTCACCTGGAGCTCCTGGATTGAGACTCGCTCCGGGCCGGTGTCACCAGCATCTGGCTTGGTAACAGCAGAGCAAAGGCTCGCTCAAGTCCCCCTTCTTCCTCGACACTGGGACCCAAGAATGTCGCGTGAAGGTTTGTCAAGGAGGCCGCTCCTGCACCGTTCCCATGAGTGTCCAGAGCACCCCATACTCCCTGCGGTCCTATCCAGTGTACCCTTCAGGCCAAACTTGCGCCTTCCACATGGAGGCACCTGAGACACTTCTTCCCCATCGAAGACCGATGTTAGACGTCCCTTCGCCACATGATGCTTGTCCAGACGCACTCCTGTCACGTACCCGCCGCCAGTACCCCTTCGCACGTGCAACCTTTTCCCACCGCTCAGCCTCAGCGGTTTGTTCTGGTCCACGGCCAGACCCCATCTGAACAATTTCCGCTCCCATGTCACGAAATGCACAGCATACCAACGAGCAAAGGACTCCCCTGCACCAAGGAAACACTCCACATGAAGGATGCTTACAGGCCATGTTTCAGCAGGGGTGGGAGCGCATGTATCAGTCGGGTCCCAGTTCCCCAGTCGTGCTTCAAGCAGTGTTTCTAAGGTGGGAGTCCCCGGCCCCTCGCGGGCCGGGCATGAAGCGCAGGGGCCCCGGCCTCTGCGCCATGTCACCCGTCAGTCCAGGCACCCGGCCTGCGCGTGTGAGTAGATGCGCATGCCCTCTGGCACCTCCAGCCCCGGCGGCAGCGTGGCGCCGGGCGGCAGCACCATGCCGTCGCGCAGCGGCCAGCAGTTGAGGGGCAGGCCCTTCTTGAACCGCACTCCGCACGCGTTGCACAGCGTGCGGGGCCCCAGCGGGCCGCACCGCCACTGGGGCGTGGAGTGGCAGCCACAGTTCAGGCACGTCGTGCGCTGGGCCTTGGCGCCTGCGGGGTTTGGGGAGGACGAGGGCGTATGGGTTGGGGCCGAGTATGAGGCAGTGGTGGCGTACGGGGCGGGGAGGTGAGCAGGGGCCGAGGTGCATCGAAGCGGGCAGACAGTGGGAATGGATGACAGGGGCCTAGATAGTTCAATGCCCAAGAGAGGGGTACGCTCAGGATACTATCATTCAACGGGGTGGTCGGGTGCAGGGGAGCTCCGGCGGTCAGCACGCATCATGGAAAAGATCTGGTGTGGCCACACTCAACCGACCCTTCCTCCCAGACGGCATGCCCCAAGCCTCCGACAGTCCAGCCTCACCCCTGCCGCGCCGTCCCAGGCGCCCGCTGCCGAGGTCCGCCTCCTCCCCTGACTCCCCGCCCACGCTGAGCTCGGACTCGGAGCCGGGCAGCGCTCGGAGGGCCGCGGGGGCTTTAGCCGGGCTGACGGCCTGCAGGGCCTCCCGCGCCCGCTTGCCGCCGACAAAGGAGGCCACCCTGCGCACCCGCCCTGACTTGCTGGTGAGCAGCACCATCTCCGGGGCCTCGAGATCCTCCTCCTCGTCCTCCTCGTCGTCCGGCGGGGGCGCCGCGCGCCGTCCAGCGCGCTCCGCCGATGCCCCGGTGCGCAGCCGGGAGGGGCCCTGCCGCCGGGCACGCCAGCGGCCGCCGGGGGTCGTCCCCGCGGCGGGGGGCTCGCAGGTCGGGGGCGCAGCCCGGGGAGGAGTGCTGTAGGTCACATAGGGCTGGCGGATGAGGGGCCTGGGGTGCGCGCGCGGGGAGGGCAGGCCGTGGTGGGGCTGGTCCGGCGGGGACCCAATGGCCGGCTGCTCGCCACTGCAGCTGCGGTCCACCAGGTCAAAGCTGTCCAGGGGGAGGTACAGGGGGGGCTCGTTGGGGTGGGAGGAGTTCATCTCCATGTCATCCAGCAGGCCCTCCAGGAAGTGGAGGGAGGGCAGGGGGACGAGGCCGGACGTGGTCCGGGATACTGAGCCCTCCTGTCGACCAGAAAGCTGCAGGAAGGGGGCGTGCAAACTTGGGGATCAGCAGGCATGCGGCTGGCAGGGAAGGGGGGAGGCCCTGCACGAAGACATGACGGCAGGGTGTGATGTTACCGGGCCCCGCTCCCACACTCGTCCACCGAGGCGGGTCTCGGAGATGCTGTCTCGCGGAGCCCCTCACCTGTTCGAGGACATCTTGGAAGATGGAGTGCCTCTCGGGCGGGGTATCCGTGTCGTGCGCCAGCGCGGCTGCCGTGAGGAGGTCCAAGCTCACTTGCCGAAGAGGCCCGACAAGGGCCTTTTGCAGTGGGAAGGATGTCGACACGCCGGAATGCACGGCCGCGGCACCATGCGCCGTGCTTGTGGAGTCTGTTGAGCTGGCGCGACGTTCCTCGGCGTTGAGCATGTAAGCGGGCAGGGCGGAGGGGGCGACGTCCTGCAGGGGAGGGGTGCGTGGGCGCGTTCAGGGTCGGCCCATTGTCACACCCCCATCACCACCCTGGGCAGTCCCGCGGTATGACAGCACAGGCGACGCACCACGCCAGGGTGATCCTCTTGTTTGGTTCCGGGTCCAGGCAGGAAGGACTGGTCGTAGGCTTGCAGGTCGGACGTGGTGGGCAGCAAACCCACGGGACCCTGCAAATGGCAGCGCTTGCGGCGAGATCACGACCAAACCAATTCCACGCCGGCGGCACGTCACCCATTGTTGGTACCTTTGAGAGGGCCAAATCACCATCATGACCCACCTGCATGCCCCATGAGTCCATCCTGACGAGCTGCCGGTAACTGCCAGGCTTGGCACCGGCCATGGCTTGTGGCACGGGCCCCAGGCGCCAAACAGGAGACCTTGGAGCTGGTGGGTCTTGCGTCTCTACAATTTGATGTTCGGAGTGTGGGACACGCGAGGGGAAGGGGTGGTGGCACCTGGTGCCGAACACGCAACCGCTCGACTCTGTTCTGCTGCGCCCGGGGTGGTTGGCCAGGGTCGATCCCTGCGGCACCCGTTCCAGCCCCATAGCCGACGCGGCCTGGCAAGCCTCCTTGCCCCTCCGGAACGGCGCTCAACCAGCGCTTGGATCGATGAACCCTTACAGAACCCCCCTCTGGCATTCAGTACTGGCATGTGTGCCATGTTCGGCCTCTGCAGCTCGGCGGCAGTCACAAAAGCCAGGCCGGCTCTGTGGTCTTCTCCGCCAACCGCTGCTGTGCTGCCTGCACATACTCCTGCAGCGGGGGCAGGCTGCTACTGTCTGCCTCCTTTCGAATGACCTGTGCGGGGAAAAACGTCGGACGCTGGGTCTTCGTTTTTAGTTGGCGACGTGGCGCAGGCATGGCAATCGCCAGGCCGCCCCTCCGTGAGCCACAGACATCACACGAGACCGCAGCCCTTCCCCTGCCGACCGCCCCGACAACACCTTGGAGGCCCAGCGCCGCTCTGCCTGCTCGCAGACGTCCCTCAGGTCCCGCCCCGCCAGTCCGGGCGTCCCGCCGGCAAGCTCTGCCAGCTCTTCCGGGGTCAAGTGCTTCGCATACTGCTCCAGGATGTGGGCCCTGCAGCGTGAATGTGTGAGTGGGGCGGCAGCGGGGTCGGCAGTGGGGCCCCAGCTGGCGTCGCTGGTCAGGCAGGACGCGCAGCTACGCGCATGAGGACAACTGCCTATCCACACATCCAGCACAAGACGCTGCCCGCCGCTGCACGGCGTGCGCAACCCAAGCCCATGCAAGGTTTCACACCGATGGTCGAACCTCAGTCCAAGTACCCCACCACCCAGCCCCTCATCTCGCCTGTCGTCCTCCGTGGGCAGGCCAAAGTAGACGCTGGTGGTGAAGCGGCTGAGCAGCGCCGGGTCCAGGTCGCTCTTCCTGTTGGTCGCCGCGATGACCACTGTGCATGTGGGGTGAGGGGAGTCATGGTGCCCTGACACCATCCAAGGGGCGGGGGGGGGGGGGGCGGCTAATGGGGGGCACATCCTCGCCGAGTTCCCTATCACAGAGACGCTTGGAGGGCCAGCCGTGCCATTGCCCCCCCACCACTACACACACACACAGGGTGCCCCTGCCCAGCGACCCGACTCCACCCTCACCCGTGCGCTTGTTGGCGTCAAAACCGTCCATGTGCCGCAGGAGCACGCCCAGCGTCCGTCGGGTGGCCTCGTGCATGCTCTCCCCCCGCGCCGTCGCCAGCGAGTCCACCTCGTCCAGGAACACGATGCAGCCGCTCGGCAGCGCCTCGCAGGCCGCCAGCAGGCGCCCCAGCCTCGCCTCGGCCTCGCCGTACCACTTGGAGGCGATGGACTCCAGTGGGATGTAGACCAGCGGCACGCCGGCCTGGGTGGCCAGGATGCGCGCGCTGGTGGTCTTGCCCGTGCCGGGCGGCCCCTCGAACAGCACGGCCCGGGGGCGGAGGGGGCCGGGGGCGGCTCGGGTGCGGGCCGCGATGCCGGCGTGGACCTCGGGGTGCAGCAGGGAGAGCAGCAGGGTGTCCTCCATCTGCCGCTTCTGAGCTTCGTAACCCGCCAGCACGCCCCAGTCCACCGAGCCGGGGGGGCCCGGGTGGATGACGGTGGCGCCGTGCTCCGTCAGCACCCTCTCCGCAGCCGCCGCGGGGGAGGGGGCCTGCTCGCGGCCGCCGCCGCCCCAGTCGTCAAAGCGCTTGGCGCGATGCTGGGCGGAGGGGAAGGGCGCCGCGTCACGCTCCTCCCCAGGGTAGACTGGGCCTGAGAGGGGAGGGGGGATTACACTTTGCCACAGTCACACGAGGATGAACAAGGGGAAGGCACAAGGACACCACCAGTGAAGCACACAGACTGCCAGTGGGAGCCCGCACTGCGCCCAGACCATCTCCCTCTGCACTGCGCCCAGACCCCCCCCCCCCCCCCCTTTCGGCCACCCACCTGCTTCCTCGCCCTCCAGGGCCTGGAACTCGCGCATGAACTCCTGCATGTGCTGCATCATGGGACCCAGCGGGCCCAGGTCGAAGACGGAGCCCAGGCCCCGCCCCAGGCCCAGCACCGCTCCCAGCTCGTCGGCCCAGGGCCGGGCGCCGCCCGGCAGGCCGCACGCGCCGCGCGCCGCCGCCTGCAGCAGCGCCAGGTCGGCCGCCTGGAAGGCGCCGGCGATCTCCACCCTGGACGCGCGGGGTGGGTTTGGGGCGAGGAATGAATGCTCACGAGCCCCTGGTGCCCCTCGGCCTCCAGCGCTGCCCACCCCCACTGGGCTGCGCTGCGCACCTGGCAGGCCGGTCGCTGGCCGCGGGGCGGAAGACCCGCACGCTCAGCGTGCCCAGCGCGTCGGAGGAGCGCTGGAGCAGGGTGGTGCCGCCCTCCGCGCCCCAGCTGGAGGACTCGGTGACGCGCAGGCCGCCAGGCGCGCGCGGCCCCGCGGCCAGCGCAGCGCGCAGGGCGCCCAGGCACCCGGGGACGGAGAGGCCGGCGGGGATGTGCAGGATCACGCGCACCGAGCCGTCCGCGGTCTCCTCCACGCTGGGCCGGGGCGTCGCCGGCCCAGCGGGGCTCCCCTGACGCGAGGCCCCCGCTCGGTGCATGTGCTCGTCCAGCTCCTGCCAGCTCAGCTCAGCGGCTGCCCGGATCTGCTGCAGGCTCGGCCGCGCCGCCTGTGCACGGGACGAAAGGGATCTGAGCTTTGCGTGGCTCCAAGGGACCTGCACTGACATTCAGCGTACAGGTGGATCGCAGACTTGGCCAAGCATGCCATAAGGACGGCACATGCGCATGCTCCAGCAGCCGCCAGACCGACACCCGACAGTCCTTGCCTCCGATGCCAGGGCGACGCTCGTCGTGGCTGCCGTTCCAGCCGCGAGCGCAACGAGGGCATGTGTGCGCCATGCTCCAGAGCTACTTGCATGGCCGTCCTGTGCGCATTTGGGTGCCTGGCAAGGGGAGCATGACAGAAGAAAGAAATTGTACAGGACCTCCCTGGGCAGCACGGCACCACTCACTGGCGCTTTGTGCACGGTATCGGTGAGAAATCGTGCAAATCACAGCCTGAACCTGTGTCCCTCACCGCTGTGCTCGCAGCGGGCCATGTTGTCGCTGAGGCGAGACTCGTTCCTGCAACCAGGGGAGTGGAACAACGCGCTATCGAGGCTCTGCTCTCACACGTCTTTGACGAGGCATTCAATTGATCACCCGCACACCTGAATTGGCTAGTATCTGCAAACATCGGACATCAAGGAGCGATCTCGCGGCATGTCGCATCATGGGGGGAGCCTGGGCGCGAGGGGCACCCTAAAGCACGGAGTACCCTTACCCCTCCCTACCGGGCATGCGCCGGTTGCTAGCAACTTATTCCCGCGAACGGGATATCGCTGGCGCAGTTGGTTGCCTCTAATGGCGAACCGGGGGGGTGGGGGGTGGAGGAAAGGAAGGGAAAGCAGGGGGTCCACCAAAAGCTGTGGGACGAGGTGCACTCTCAAAAAAGCACTTGGTCAGCATCAGGATGTTCACCGCTCCATTCACGTCGCGGTTGACAACGTTGACCTTGCAGGCCGGGTTGACGCACCGCTTGGTGTCCCACAGTTCCGTCCACGTCTCCATGCCATCGCTCCAAGTGTGTACCAAACCCCCTCCTCAAACTCCCCCCTCTTCCCACAGGTGCCCCACCTATAAGACAGCGAGCACAGAGGTGCTCCTGTCGCGGGTTGCGTGGATCGTCCCCACCTTGCGACGGGGCTTGGCCTGGCACATGCACGAGAAGCCGTTTCGAAGGGTGCGCCACCAGGCCTACGTCAGCAGGGAGCGGGCCATCACCCAGCTGGCGGAGCAGTTCCGTGCCCCCCCTGGCATGACCACTGTCGTGGGCGTGGGCAACTGGTCGGCCCAGGACCGAGGGGGCATCATGCGGGGGACTCCGCCTGGGCCCTGGATACGCTTCTTGCGGCGCCTGCGGCGGGTGTGCAGGGTGGTGGTGGTTGACGAGCACAGGACTTCCAAACTGTGTTGCGCCTGTCACGCCACCCTCCATGCCCACCAGTACGTGCGGGGTTGCCGAGGTGAGGAGAAGCTGGTGGACGTGTGGGACACCAAGCGGTGCGTCAACCCGGCCTGCAAGGTCAACGTTATCAACCGCGACGTCAATGGGGCGGTGAACATCCTGATGCTGACCAAGTCCTTTTTGGCGAATGCACCTCGTCCCACAGCTTCTGGTGGACCCCCTGCTTCCCCTTCCTTTCCCCCCACCCCCCACCCCCCGGTTCGCCATTAGAGGCAACCAATTGCGCCAGCGATATCCCGTCCGCGGGAATAAGCTGCTAGCAACCGGCGCATGCCCGGTAGGGAGGGGTAAGGGTACTCCGTGCTTTCCCGGGTGCCCCTTGCGCCCGGGTGGCTCCTCCCGGGGAATGCCATGAGCAAACGCATCAAAATATCTCACTCGCCGTCCACAGAAGTAATATCTGAATGGGGAAGATCAGACTCCTGGTTGCGCACAATGCAAAAAGCGGGAATCTTCAGCAGATACTGTCCAGCTTCCAGCGACTAGTTCTTTGGAACAACCTCATCCTAAAGGGCAGAAACGAGGGCTGGTGAGACAAGGATAATAGCAATGAGAGGACATGACCTAGTACACCCGTGATCACGTCAAGTGTGTATTCCAGCTCACCGACAAGTTCCTCATGTTTGGGGTGCGGGACTCCTCCGGCAGGCTGTAGCTGCTATCCTTAAATGCCTCCTCAGCGACTCCCTGGAAGTTGGAAGGACCTTGCATTGTCAAACGTTCCCTTGTCTGGAGCCAACGAGGGCTGAGCACGCAAGGCCCTCCCCCCCAAGACGCACCTTCTCCCGCATCTTCTTGGCGGCCTCTTTCAGCTGCTTCTTGCGTGCAGAACTGTCCCTCAGCGCTTGCCGAGGATCTACCCCGAAAGCTGCTACAGCCGGGGCTGGCATCAGCAATGGGACGGCCAGGAGGGCCAGCGCATCCCTGGCATGATGACGCGCACAAACAAGTGATCACCGAACTGTGGAGTCGCGGCGGAAACAACAGTTCCCGTAACCCCAGCCCATTGCCCATTCGTGTCAAGTACCTGCGGGAGGTTGATCCTCTCTGTGGGCCCTTGGCATCAGAGCCTTGCTGACACAAGGCCCTCACATTTCCCCTCGGTCGAGAGTGGCTGGGGTGGCACACCCCCGCGCGTCCCAGGCTCGTGGAAGACAGCATTGCGCTTTAGGTCGTGCTTAATGAGTCCAAATCGTGTTTTACCACTCAAGTAAGGAGTGCACACCCCCTCCGCGAATGTCGATGGTGTGGATGGCACCGCGTCGCGCTTCCGAAAGATAAAGAATCTCCTCCTGCCCGCACGTGAGCCATCATCCACAAAACACAAACCGAAGGTAGGCTGTTCCATGGCTCACCCTCACCGGCCCTGTAGAAGATGCTGATAACAGCAATACCAGTATGGATCCGGGAATGGCGATGGAAGGTCTGCCATTGCATTCCTCAACTGCACGTTCACAGGGTCTTCGATAAGGAGGGCGCAATCATGTCCAGGAGGCCCTGGGGGTTGTCCACATGGACCCAGTGCCCGGCGTCTGGGAGCTCGTGGTACTCCAGCACCCCCCGGTCTGCCATGCCAGGCACCGCAGCCAGGCCCCGCAGCGTCTCCACGCTCTCCTCGGTCCAGCGATCCGACTCCAGAGCACGCACCATGTGTATTGTGGTCCCCGGCGGCGGCGTGGTCAGGAGGTCGGTGTAGTCTGTGCAAGGATTGGGCCAAGGGCACTGGGTTGGAGGGGCTTTGCGTTGCCAGGCGGGAGTATGTTCAAGGGTGCGTCAGATCATGCTGCCCTGCTTCCCGCACCGCTCCCTTCACCCTTGCTGATGCATGAGTGGCACCAGTAGCGGGCCCCTTTGCACCGGCACTACGAGCTCACCTTGCGTGCAATAGTCCTCCAGCATGGACCTCGCCCCCTCCAGATCAAACTGCCACACGTACTGCCCCTTGCCACGCTGGCGCAGGTTGCTGCCCAGCCACTGCTGCAGTCCTTCGCTGAAGCCCTGCTCCCCCAATCGCTGGTACAAGGCCTCCCGGCTGGGCAGGGGCTGGGGGATGGCGGCGACGGCGTCCAGCACTCGCTCCGTGTCCCTCAGCTCCCCAAACGACTCCCTGGCCCGGAAGGGCCAGGAGTCGAGCACCCAGGTCTGGAAGGGGGCGGGGAATGTGATGGGATTGTGACTCGAGGATAGAAGACGGGTGGATGAGAATTGGCAGATGCGACGACAATAGTGGAGACTGGTGTGCGGTGCACCCGACCATCCAGAACCCGTCGCCTTCCTCTCAGCATGGAGGTCAGCGTCCCATTGCCATGTCTTGCCTGGGAAGGAGGCTTGCCCAGCCGCGACATCTGGGCTGTCAGCTCCAGGCACACTTTCCCTCCAAGAGAATGGCCGATGAGGACATCAGGGGCATCTGCATACTCTAGTCCGCTGCTAAACAGCCTCAGGATGTCCTCTGCCGAGGCAGCCAGGATGTGCGGAGGAGGCAAGCCCAGGTGACCCGACCTCCCGTGACACCGCTGGTCCAGGAGGACGGCTTGCCAGGGCCTGCCGGACTGCTGCTCGGCCCGGGCCAGCAGGGTGCGGGTGAGGGTGGCCAGGTTCCGGCCAACCCCCAGCAGGCCATGCACCACGCAGATCGTGCCGGTGTCAGCAGTTGGTCCAGAGCCTGCCCCTGGACTGGCGAGTCGCTCGCTGTAAATCTGCGCAGCCTCTGTGTGCAGACCGGCCGTGGCAGGGGTGGCCTCCAGGGCTGGGAGCCACCGCCGGGCCAGCTCCCGCACCCCCCGCGACAGCATGGCTTGGGGGGCGATGCCTCAGCAATTTGTCTGGATGGTATCAGATGAAGTGGGTGGCCAGGGCTGGGCGACCGATGTGCATGTCGTGGATCATGGCCGGGTCACGAAGCCAGCTCGCGCCAGCTAGGTTTTCCGGGATGAGTGTCAGTGCCACAGCGCGCTCCCTGCGCTGGTGGAGGGGTCCTGACCCATGGCGGGGATCCCACCAGCATCAATTGGACTCCTGCTGATAGTGATCGATTGGTTCGGGGTGCGTGTCTGCTGGCTGGGATGCGACGCGCATTGGTCGTTTCAAACCGGCACCCCGGGGTGCTCGGGGTGTTCTGAGGCCTCCCCACTCCGCGGCCTCCATTCGGATCCGACCCACATCCCATGCGATCATGGGCCTCCAAGGGAGCCCCGTGGTGCATGGGATCGCTGCCGGGCAGGGCGGCCAGGCGGGCAGCCCTGCTGGCCGTCGGGGGCCTGCTGGCTAGGGGCCCCTCCCCGCCTGCCCGCCCGCTCCAGCCCCGACATGCCGAGGCCGGGCACCGCGAGGCCCTGCACCATCCGAGGTTTGCTCGGGCCTCGCGCCTCTGCAGCTCCAGAAACGGTGCTGGCCCCACTCAGGAGGACGCAGCACACAGGGGCTGCACCCAGAACGGGCCCCACCCCCGCCGGCAGCCCGCCTCCGACCGCCTCACCATCCTGCACTTCAACGACGTGTACGAGATATCCCCCCGCGCCATGGAGCCCGTGGGCGGCGCGGCGCGCTTCGTGAGCGCCGTTCGCGCCCACGCCGCCGACTCGCCCCTCGTCCTCTTCAGCGGTGACTGCCTGAACCCGTCCCTGGTGTCTTCCTTCACCCGCGGCGAGCACATGGCGCCCATCCTGAACAGCATCGGCGTGCATGCCGCCTGCGTCGGCAACCACGGTGAGTGGGAGGCTGGGGGAGGACGGAGGGCGGGGGAGGGAGATCGTCAGGGTGTGGGGGAGGATGGGGTTTCAGCGGCCCCACCACCGGCTGCCCCAGGCCCCCCCTCTTTCTGGGTCTGCAGCGTGGGGTCCAGGGGCAAGGCCCCCGCTCCATGCCAGGTACCGCAGCTATGGTGCTTGAGCTCGCCTGCCATCTGCTTCACTCCAACTCCCCCCCCCCCCCCCCCCCGACCACCAGACTTTGACTTTGGCATGGAGGTTCTGCGTCGCCATGTGGCGGCCTGCTCCTTCCCCTGGCTCCTGTCCAACGTGCTGGACCCGCGCACGGGGCGCCCCCCCGCCGGCCTGTGCGAGTCGCACCTGCTGACCTGGCGCGGCATACGCGTCGGGCTGCTGGGCATCGTGGAGCGCGAGTGGCTGGCCACGCTGGCCTGCGTGGACTTGGCGCGCGACCTGCGCTTCCTGGACCCGGAGGCCGCCGCCGCGCGGCTGGCGGCCGACCTGGTGGCGGCCGGCGCGGAGCTGGTGCTGGCGCTGACGCACATGCGCGCCGCGCGCGACGCGCGGCTGGCGGCCGCCGTGCCGGGTGTGCAGCTGGTGCTGGCGGGGCATGACCACCACTGGGGCGTGGAGGCGGTCGCCCCCCACGGCACGCTGGTGGTCAAGTCGGGGACCGACTTCCGCGAGTTCACGCGCCTGGAGCTGGCGCTGCCGCTGCGCCCCCACCCCGCCCGCCCCGACGTCGCCTGGGCGCGGGTGGAGGTGGGCGCCGGCACGCCCCCGGACCCGCCCACCCAGGCGCTGGTCGCGGGGTTTGAGGCCCTGGTCGGTGCGCACCTGGACCAGGCGCTGGGCTGGACCCACGTGGGGCTGGACGCGCGGGGGGAGGCCATGCGCGGGCGCGAGACGGTGCTGGGCAACCTGCTGGCAGACGCCATGCGCGTGGCCATGGGCTGCCAGGTCGCGTTCTTCAACGGGGGCACCGTGCGCTCCGACCAGGTCAGCAGAGGGGCGGGGGGTGTCTTGGAGGTGGGGTTGTTTGTGTTTTGAGTGCGGGGAAGGGGTTTCAGGGGGGAGTGGGTCTGAGGATATGGGTCAAGGACCTCTCCACCGTCACGCCTGCGATGCCAGACGCCTTGCATTCTCAGGCTCCCTAGACAGCTGGTGCCAGCCCCATGGATACACCGCCTCTCCCTCATCCACCTACCCACCCCCTCCCCCCCTCCCCCCACTGACACCCAAGGTGCACGCCGCGGGGCAGCTGACGACGCGGGACGTGGTCACCATGCTTCCCTTCACCGACGAGCTGGTGGCGGTGGAGCTGACGGGCGCCGACCTGCTGCGCGTCCTGGAGACTGGCGTGGGCGCCTGGCCCGAGCCGGAGGGCCGGTTCCTGCAGGTCTCGGGCCTGCGCTTCGCCTTCGACCCGGCGCGCCCGCCCGGCACGCGGGTCGACGCCGCCTCCGTGCACGTGGGCGGCGCGGCGCTCGACCCCGCTCGGCGCTACTCCGCGGTGACCAAGGCGTACCTGCGCGACGGCCGCGACGGCTTCGCATGCATGCGCGCCGCGCGGCCGCTGCGCGTGGAGCTCAACGCGCCCAGCCTGGCCACCCTGGTGCGCCACCTCTTCTTCCGCATCCAGGCCCTGAACGAGGGCCTGGCGAGGGGGGAGGGGGGGAAGGGTGGCGGCGCGGCGGCGGCGGGAAAGCGTGGCGACCTCGTGGGAGCACGACAAGGAGTCAGTGCAAGGCCGCAGCACGGCACACGGACCTCGGGCGACGTGGGCAGCAGCGGCGGGCCACGAGCGCCCGCAGCGGGCGCTGCACACGTCGCCGACCCAGCAGACAGCCCCCCTTCCGAACCAGTCAGCCCGACGGGGTGGTCGCCGGAGGTGCTGATGCAGCCGTACGAGGCAGGGCTGGAGAAGCTGTACTGCTTCGACCCCGGCACGGGGAAGTGGGGCGTGCGCCCAAAGGTGGAGGGGCGCATCCGCTGTGTCCCCGGCTGCCTGCCGGAGCCTGGAGTGTGAGGGCTCGAGGGGCAGTCCCCGGCGGGCACAGTCCTCTGCTGGAATCACAGCACGGTGCCTCTCCTGACGCCCAAATGCCCTGCTGCATGAAGCCCCTCCCAGGTGACTGCAAAACTTGATTTTCATTGGCAGCAATCCATATGGCACAGCCGGGAGTGACAAACACACAGAGGCCAGGGAACGCAGTTCCAATGCCAGGGCGCACTCCTGGGGGTCCAAGATCATCAGGTTTTCAGGGGCTTGCGCTTCTCGCGGTCGGCAATCTTGACATACTCGGCTCCAGACTGCTTGAAGCGCCCCCGCGCATCGTCCGTGTCCGACACCTTCTTCTTCACGATCTGCACGACATCCTCGTCTTCCAGCGTGTGGCCCAGCCCCACCCTGGGAGTGGCGGAAGTTGTGGGGTTCGATGGATGGCATCGCATCAGCGGCTGGCAGGCAGGGGAGGCCACAGGTGTCCACAATGAAAGTCATCAATCGATCCTACTGGATGCACTCCGCAGCAAAACCTAGCCGGCGCACCTCTGGGGCATGTGCTTGGTGGAGGTGCCCCACACCAGGGCGTACTTGAAGTCCGCCAGCAGGCTCTTGTGGATGTGGGCACAAAAGTCGGAGACGGTGACGCCGCCACGGTCGTCCGAGAGCACCACAGGCTCGTCGAAATCTGGCCGCTCCCCCACTTTCTTGGTGTAGGCACGGACAAGGCCCTGTGGAGTTGGTTGAAAGGGGGCAGGCCGTGAGAACGGCAGTTTATACTGACCACCGAGCCGGCAGAAACCATACCGCATGGCTAGCAGGAGCTGGCCTTGGCCCAATTATCAGTCCCCCGCCCTCCTCAGCAACCACTCGCCATCATCTCCCAGATCTGGGACAGGAGGCCGTCCATGTTGAGGCGGTGGTAGCAGGAGATGGGTATGGAGAAGGGCCGGCGGGCTATCTCGTCCACCTCCTCCATGCTGCACACGTCGACCTTGTTGTACACATACAGGCCTACATAAAGAGTGGTTAAAGGTAGGTGGGCATGTGAGTGAGCCCTTCTGGTGGGACGTAATGGCGCCATACACATTGTTCACAGGGTAGCACCGCCTGAGAGCGTTCATGTGTTTCCCCTGCACCGCTCTTGGACGCCCAGGAGACCCTCGCAGCAGGCCAATTCCTCACGCACTCTCACTCACACTTGATGTAGCGCCGATTGCCCTCGATGACGTCGATGAGGTCGTCTACCGTGGAATCCTCCTTGAACAGCAAGTCGGCGTTGTGTATCCGATACTCCTGCCGGTGAAAAAGTGAGGAACCTTATGTGACATCCTGCCTGTCCCATGCTGGCGACAAGGCAGACATGCATGTCAGACAGAGATGCAACAAGCGATATCGTCAACCATAATCCTACCTGGAGGATCCGCCAGACCATCTTCTCGTCCAGATGGGTCAGGGTACCCATGGAGTTGACCGCGATCCCGCCCGTTTTCTTCTTCTTGAAGAAGATGTCTGGCGGCTTGCGATTTAGCCTGGCCAGGGACACATGGTGGAAGTGGAAGGTGGGCATGAGCGACAGTGCATTGCCCCAAGGTCCTTGCAATACATGATGCAAATACTCACCACTGACCCAGGAATCAGCCAGCAGTCGCTATCGGTTGTCTGAGGCCTCAGGTCTCTGTCCTTCCCTTGTACAAATGAGCCCTCCAAAGGCCCACCTACGCCCGCCAACCCACCTCACGCCCACTGACTCTAGCTCCCTGGTCAGGATCTCACGATGGTAGTGCGGCTTGCCCGCATCCAACACCATCAGCAGGAGGTCCGCCGACTTGCAGACAGCAATGACCTGGCGCCCACGGCCTGTGTGGGTGTGAATTGGGGAGTGAAGGTGGTGATGTTTCAGGCTCAAGGTGATCACGAGCAGTCGCCATAAAGTATGACCCATCCAATATGCCTCACTTCCACCTCCCCCACTTCATCACCTTTGCCCTCCGCCGCCCCTTCGATGATCCCCGGCAGATCCAGCAGCTGGATCTTGGCGTCGTTGTAGTGGATGACGCCCGGGATGCAGGTGAGGGTGGTGAACTCATAGGAGGCAGCCTCCGATTTGGTTCCTGTCAGCTCCGTCAGCAGAGTGGACTTCCCCACCGAGGGGAAGCCGATTAGGGCAACGCGCCCATCCCCAAACTTCTGGACCTCGAACCCCTCCCCGGAGGCACCCCCCTTGGCGGGCTCCTGGAGCATGGTCCGGAGCTTGGCCAGTTTGGCCTTCAGCTGGCCCATGTGATACTCGGTGGCCTTGTTTTTCTGAGTCCGGGACATCTGCGGTGATCGTGGGTGGGATGGGGGTTTAGTGAGGCGGTACATGCCACTCTTAACGAGCCAAAGGAGCCTGCGCTGAATCGGATTGGCTCCCGCAATACCCCCGCACCTCGAGCTCGATGTCCTTGATTCGCTCAAGGATCCCCATGGCGTGTGGAGGCCCGTGCCAGGTAGACTTGCAGGCAGCTTGTGATTATTCAGATGTTGAATGGTCTTGTTGAAGGTGATCTAGTATGCCACAATCCTACAAGAGGGTCCTGGACGGTAGCTGAATCCCAGTCAGTCGTCCTTCCCGGCGCGCACGTCAGGGGGATCCGACCAGGCTCAAGCACACCCGTGTCCTCCAACACAAATATGCTTAGAGAGTTGTGGGTGCATATGATGCATGAAGCGATCAAGCGGGCGGTGGATTTGGGCAAGAAGTGTCTCTGCGCTCTACTCCAAGGTCGACGTGGCACGATCCAGGGCGCCGGGAGGAGGTGCGAAATGACAGCCTGAGACGTCACAGGGGTTGACGAGCATCGCTATCGTATCAAACAATTCTTTTTTCGAAGAACAATCTGCTCAAGAATATCCCCGCATGAGGCCCATGCAGGCTACAGGTCTCGCGAGGGGCCACCTCTCCCCGCTTCATGCTGTCCCCCCATGCCGGCGCCATGGCATCATCTGCAAGGGGTACGCCCGCACCCAGACACCGCTGCTCGAGTCCTTGAAGCCCCTGAACAGGGCTCTGGAGTCGGGCACGAACGATGAGGCCGTGGCTGCTGCACAGGAGCTGAAGGAGAGCGGGGTGCTGTGCTTGTTTGGGGAGGGGCGCCAGGTCCCCAAGCGCCCCTACACCCTGGAGGAGGTCCGTCTCAACAGGATCGACCCCGCCGCCCTCCTGTCCCCCGTGGATGCCACCATGAATGGCGTGCGCACCGGTCTCCAGGTACGCAAGAGCTTGTGCCGACATGTGGAGGGCAGCTGGTAGCTGCGCAGCGCCGAGTAGCAGCCCAATCGCCCATGCATTCCCCCTTGCCCAGGCTGTCGCGGCCAGCGGTCTCCTGGCCCTATTATATGGTGGAGCGGTGGATGTGTCCGGGGCTGCGGTGCTCGTGCTGTTGGGGGCCACCCTGGCGGTGGCAGACCAGGTAGGCACCGGCGGCGGGGTCGAGGCCCTGCTGCTGGACTTGGCGGCGCGGAAGGTGAGCGGAAGCTATGCGTCCCGCGTGGCCACACACGAGGCCGGCCACTTCCTGGTGGCCTACCTGCTGGGCCTGCTGCCCCGCAGCTACACATTGTCGTCCTGGGACGCCTTTCAAGCGTGCGTTTAGGACTTGTGAAAGGGGAATGGTTGGCCACTCCTAAACGGACTTCGGTCATGGTCGTTCGTTTGGAAAGGGGCACTCACTGCGCAGCAAGCAGCAGACTTTGCACCCTTGAGGGCACCTCAGGCGCATGCGCATCCCCCAAGCCCTCTGCAGGCAGGGCCGGCTGGGTGTCCAGGCGGGGACCGAGTTCTGCGATGGCGACTTCCAGCGAGAGGTAGCCAGCGGGAAGCTGTCCTCCAACAGTCTCGATGCCTTCACCTGCCTGGGTCTGGCCGGCGTGTGCGCTGAGACCGTGGTCTACGGCCGGTCCGAGGGCGGGCTGGCCGACATTGCCCAGCTGGACTCGCTGCTGCGGCGGATCAACTTCAACCAGGCCAAGGCTGATGACCAGGTAAACAAAGTGGCGGTGTGCAGAATTCAGTGCCAAGCTGAGGGAGGAAGGGGGGTTGAGGGGTCGCATGACGGCGTCACCAATGCGCTCGGTCTCTTCCATTGCGCAGGTGCGATGGTCGGCCATCAACGATGTCGTGCTGCTGAGGCGGCATGCCGCTGCCCATGCCGCACTCACAAAAGCCATGCAAGCAGGAAAGAGCGTTGCTGAGTGCATCGCTGCGATTGAGGCTGCTGAGGCGTAGCCAGGACGTGGACACACTGGTTAGGGCTGTGTCTCGTGGTGCATACAGCGTTGCATCATCACTGCTGCATCTGAGACCGCTTCTGAGGTGCCGACAGTGTTACAGACATACAGTGAGCGCAGCGGGACACAGGCCATGCGTCGAGGGCACTGATGGAGCACTCCTCCCTGGATGGGGCAGCAATGCAGCAGCGGAAGGGACTGTGCGTCAAGCCGAGGTGTCCTTCTGGATCACAAGTTGGAACTCCCCTACCACATCTGGGGCACGATGGGAGTGGGAGAGCATGAGGTTCTGGGCATGACGGCACAAGACATTGCTGGGATATTTGCACCGCAAAGCCTCCCAAGACATGTGAAGCTACCATGCCCCTCCAAGTGACACACGATCATCCTTGCATCGTGCCCCAGTGGGTAACATTGCACCACTATCCCCCCCCCCCCTCCCCTCTCACCTGGGTGCAGCCGGATGGAGACCAGGTAGCTCCCCAGGGCAGCTATCTCAGGCAGGTTCACGGCCCTCTTGTCCAGGCTCCGCCCCGTCTGCTGCTCGATCACGGCCACCACGTCGGCGGTGGTGACGGAGCCGAAGAGCTGGCCCGAGGTGCCCACTTTCTTCCTGATCACAAACTTGCCAATGGTGCTCAGGGCCAGGGCCATGGCCCGCGCCTTGCCCAGCACCTCCTGCGCCCGCTTTGCCTCCGCGTCCCTCTCGGACTGCAGCCTGGCCAGGATGGCAGGGGAGGCGGGGGAGGCCTGGCGTTGCGGGATGAGGTAGTTGCGGACGTAGCCGACAGGGGCCTCGCACAGCTCGCCCTGCTTGCCCAGGCCCCGCACGTCCTTGAGCAGGATGACCTGCTTCTTGTGCGTCACGGCCTTGGAGGCCGTGATCACGAGGGTGCCGCGCTGCGCCGCACGGCTGCATTGGCGACCCTGGAAGGGGGTGAGCCACGGCCTCGAGGACTGCACGGGCAACGGGGGGGGGTCGATGCGTGGACGGCGCCCTTCTATGCAGGCATTTTGTAAGCAGCAATGGTCGAGTACTGAAAGCCAATGTGCCTGGCCCAGCAATTCCACCCCTGTTCCACCAATACACCTGCATGGAGGGGGTGCACCCCTGGAAAGCCATCATGGGCTGCCCGGTCACCGAGTGCGTGCGGTTCACGGTGAACTTAACAGGTTTCTCGATGCACTGTGTACTTCAACGATGAGCTACTCAGGGCCCATGAGGCGACTCTCGCATTCGCGCATTGCGAGGTGGTGGGAGCGGATAAGTTTGCCTGGCCGACTCGCGCGCTCGTGATGGGCGCGAGGTACTCACAGGGACGAGCGTCGCAACGGTATACTCGACGACGCTTCGCTAATCATTGGATATAGGCTCAGTGGACCCATCAATAATAAAGCATAAGCCACACCGGCCGTTTTGGCCCTCGCCATCGCGGTCCACCGGCGCCATGGCGGACGAGCCTGAAGCGCAGGGGGCGAGAGCCACCAGCGAGCAGGCAAAGGCTCTAGACAAGGTCACAGATCAGGTGAGGAGGACCTCTAAGTGTGCTTGTGTGTCCTGAAATACGACTCTGGGTGGTGCTACTGGAGGTTGAGAGGCAAGCACAGTTGCCGCTTCTGTGCCACTCGCCCACCCTGTGCCCCGCTCTTCACTGACAAACCCATGGCCCAGTTCCCCGTCCCCTTCGCCAGGTCGAGGAGCGGGAGGTGAAGAATGTGGACCAGTCCAAGATTCAGGCAGCCATGGCAGAGCTTGCTCAGCAGCAGCGTGTGAAGCATGAAGCCGCCCGGCTCAGGTAGGGTGTGCTGTGCGGCTTTGGCTTGTGGGGCTTTAGGGTCTGCTGGCTGGGCTCATTGCAGGACTCTGTGTTCCTTTATGGGACTTTGAGCACCCAAATACTCGGCACCCGAAACCTAAACAGGGAAAAGACGCTGTCGGCGGTCAAGATTCAGGCCTCGGACGTGGAGGTTCTGGTGCGGGAGTTTGAGGTGGACAAGAAGGCTGCCGAGCTGCGCCTGCGGGAGCATGGCGGGGACGTGCGCGCCGCGCTGGCCTCCTACCTTGCTTGACTGCATGTTGTTCAGAGGAATGGTCCCAAACAGACTTGATTTTCTACTGGTATGAGTGGCAATGACACTGAGCTACACGAGCGGCTGCCGTGGCAGGGATCGTTCAAAATTTGGATGCTAGGCGAAGCACGTACAGGGGCCGGGGGCAGGCGGCAGCCGGGGCGGGGGCAGCCCGGCTGGGCGGAGGCAGGTTGGCGGTTGCCTAGCGCAGCCGTCACCCATGAACAGGCAACTGTTGAGGAAAAGGGCGCACAGGAAAGGACCAGAACGACTCACCCCTGGCCCCCTCAGCCGGCAAACTGGCGGGAGAGCCCGGCATGGACCCCGGTCGCAGGGCGCGCGGAGCGCTCGGCGTCGTCGGAGAAGTCGCGCTCCAGCACCGCCGCGGCGCCCATGCCCGACCCAATGCACATGGAGATGACGCCGAAGCGTGCGGCCTTGCCGCGGCGCTGCATCTCGTTGATCAGCGTGGCGGCCTGGCGCGCGCCGGTGCAGCCCAGGGGGTGCCCCAACGCGATGGCGCCGCCGTTGGGGTTCACGCGCTCCAGGTCCAGGCCCAGCTTCTTCACCGTGTACAGGGCCTGGCTGGCAAAGGCCTCGTTGATCTCAAACACGTCCACGTCATCCAGGCCCAGCCCCGCGCGGCGCACGGCCTCAGGGATGGCAGCCACGGGGCCGATGCCCATGATGGCGGGGGGCACGCCCACAGCCGCAAAGGAGCGGAAGATGGCGAGGACGGGGAGGCCGCGGCGCCGCGCCTCGCGCCGCGTCATCATGAGCACCGCCGCCGCGCCGTCAGTGGTCTGGCTGCTGGACCCGGCGGTGGTGGAGCCGCCCTTCTTGAAAGCCGGCTTCAGCGCCGCCAGTGTGGCCAGCGTGACCTCGGGCCGGATGCCGTCGTCCTCGGAGATGGTCACGCGCCGCTCCTCCCCGTTTGCATCCTTGAGCACCGTCTCCACGGGCACGATCTCGTTCTTGAACTTGCCCGCCGCGCGCGCGGCGGCCGCCAGCCGGTGCGACCGCAGCGCAAAGGCGTCCTGCTCCGCGCGGGTCATGCCGAACTGGGCCGACACGTTCTCGCTGGTGATGCCCATGGGGATGAGGCAGTCGGCGGCCTCCTGGCAGGTGGCCACACGAGGGTTCACAGTGCCCTCCCAGTTCATGGGGTTGCTGGTCATGTGCTCCACGCCGCCGGCGATGGCCATCGTGTAGTACCCGGCCTTGATGGAGGCGGCCACCGAGGCCATGGCCTGCAGGCCGGACGAGCACTGCCTGCGACGAGGACAGGCCAGGCTTGCATGGGTGTGTGTTCAGTCATTGTACCGATCAAGGGTCGCCACCATGCCCCGCACCAACATTGGGTCAGTCCCCCAGCTCTCCAGAAACTCACCTGTTCAGGGTGTGGACAGGGACGGTGTGGGGGAAGCCGGCGAAGAGCATGGCCATGCGCAGCTCGTTGGCGCGCTGGCTGGAGGGGCCCATGACGGAGCCGAACACGATGTCGCCCACCGCCTCGGGCTCGATGCCGGTGCGGCGCAGGGTGTCCTTTAGCACCGCGGCGATCAGGTCGTCCACGGGGGTGTCCTTGAAGCCGCCCCGCCTGGCGCGGCACAGGGCCGTGCGGCAGGTGGAGACGATGACCACGTCGTCCAGGTCGCCCGCACGGCGGTCGTGGGACTCGGCGGAGGTGGGCTGAGGGGCCACCTCGGGCGTGCCGTGAGCCTGGGAGGGGAGGGCGCGGTGACTGGGGTGAGATCGGGGTGCACACGACCACGGGGAGGGCTTCAGACACACCGAGATCGTGGGACAGGAAGCATATCACACCGCCCACGTACCGATGCCAGGTGGCTCAGCAGGACCTTCTGACGCTGAGCGGCCTTCTCCATGGTAGGGTGTGGAGTCGAGGGAGGGAGTGAGGTAGGTTTGACGGGAGTAATCGGGCCCCTGCCTCGAGAAAGCAGGCGTAGATGTGAAAAGGAACAAAGGTTGGAATGTATGCAGCTCCCGTCCTTGCTTTCAGGGTTATACTTCCCTGTCGGAACTTTGCATAAGCGTTGCAGTCACGCCTGCGGTCCGAGTCAGCCGGTGTCCCCGAAACTTTTCCCGCGCGGGGTCACCTCCCTCGCCGATCACGCATCATAGGCGTTGTGGTGATCCCCCGACAGCAAATTGAGCCGGAACCCACATCATAATGCACCTTAGGGTTGCCTCAGCCACTTATCTGCGACAGTCCGCTTGCTACTACCACTCCTTCAGAGCATCAGGTGTGGGCCTCACGCTTCTTGCGATGTATCGTGTGCATGCGACCCATGTGCGGTGAGGAGAGCTTATACCCATATTCTCACACCGCAGACCCATATTCTGTATCCAGAGCTCCGCTCAGGAGCGCACCCCGCCTGGCGACGCCCCCTCGGCCTCACAGGACCACATTTGGCCTGAGCAGTGGGGTCCAGGCACCCGCTTGCTGGCGTCGCCGCTGCGTGACTGCAGCAGCCTCAGGCATGGCATCCCTCACGATCGAGCGTGTCCCTTGCCTGTCGGATAACTATGGTAAGGCTGTGTTTGCCATGCCGCACATCCCTACCTCCCCTGTTGCAAGGGCCTTGAGTTCCAGACTCCCGCACTCCCCTGCCCCACAGCTTGGCTCCTGCATGAGCCGGCCAGTAACGTGGTCGCCATCGTGGACCCCTCAGAGTCCAAGCCTGTGGTGGCTGCCCTGGAGAGGAGGTGGGTCGTGTGACAGGCTGGCGGGGGGGGGGAGGTGTCTATCCCGACCCATTTTTAGACGCAATGCACTGTTGTTTCAGGTCTGCAGAGTATGATGGGGTCGTCCTGCTTTCTCATGCCATCCCCTCCTGTGCAGCCTTCGATGCCCCAGGGTGCCGCCTCATCTCCTGCCCGCCTATTCCACCCGCCATCGTCCGTCATCGGCCGCCTGTCACACAGTCACCCACTCCCACGCGCCCCCCCGCCCAGCGGTCTCAAGCTGACGCACATCCTGAACACCCACCACCATTGGGACCACACGGGGGGTAACGAGGAGCTCAAGGCGCGGTTCGGCGCCACAGTCATCGGCCCCGCCGCGGACCGGGACCGCATCCCGGGCATTGACGTCGCGCTGCGGGACGGGGAGCGGTACAGCCTGGGGGCCGCGGAGTTCCTGACCCTGGATACCCCGGGCCACACCCGCGGGCACGTGACCTACTACTTCCCCAGCGCCAAGGCCATGTTCTCCGGGGACACCCTCTTCTCCCTGGGCTGCGGCCGCTTCTTCGAGGGCACCCCCGCCCAGATGCAGGCGAGCCTGGACAAGCTGCGGGGCCTGCCCCAGGACACCCGCGTCTTCTGCGGGCATGAGTATACCGCCGGCAACGCCAGGTTCGCCGTGAGCGTGGACCCAGACAACGAGTTCCTGCGGGAATGGAAGGGGCGCATCGACGCCGCGCGCGCCAAGGTATGATGCCGAGGGGGAAGGGGGGGGGGGGGGGGGCAGGCCAGGCTGGCAGGGATGATCTGAAGGGCGCTGGAGAGGCGGCCTGTTTCTTTCTGCAGCTGTAGATCTGGGGCATGCGTGGCTGGGCAGCCTGTTCTGAGCGTGCCGCGTCTTCACCACATATTAGGCATGGCAGATCACCTGAGACCGCAAAAATCAAGGGCGACGCATTTCGTGCACAAGTTTCCTGACAACTTCATCCTTTCTTTCCCTGCACAGGGCCTGCCCACCGTGCCCAGCCTGCTCGAGGACGAGCTGGAGGCCAACCCCTTCCTGCGCCCAAACAGCCCCGCGATCCGCAAGTCTCTGGGCATCCCCGCGAGCGCCAGCTCGGCAGAGGCCCTGGGCGCGATTCGCGCCGCCAAGGACAAGGCCTGAGCGGGTGTGGGTGCGCCCTGGCTGCCCGCAAGCCTGGCGTGGACTCGTGCGTGCAGGATTGTTGCCCGTGTGATCACCCACGAGTGCGAGGTTTGCTGGCTGCCGGTGTTCAGCAGCAGATGTTCACATGTGTGTGTGGAGGCAGGGATTGGACCTCCCCCTGCCCACTGTAGAAGCGAGAAGAATGCAGCGATGGCAGGGACAGTGCTGAGGCAGGTGTTGGGTCATGGTGAAGTCAGAGTCGACGCAGAGTAGCTCCGTTTCCATGTGCGCTTGATAAGCGGGTGTTCACCCTCAACCTGCTCACCCCTGCTGAGGCACTCAGCCTTTGCACTGCACGGTCCAGATGAGGTCGCTGTCCGACTCCACCACCACCTCCTCAGCTTCAAGAATGTTGCTGGTGCTCAGCAGCCCCCCCATCCTCATCTCAGTGTCATCTGTGGATCGAGAAGCAGGGAGGGTCAACCGTGCTGGGTGGCACAGGCAGGTCCGGTGCATGGTCTCCCCCTGTGCCCTTACAGGACCATACTCAAACCATGGCCCAGTCTGGACCCAGCCTCCTCCCCCTCCACCACCCACCCACCCTCCCACTCACCCATGTCCCACTTGAGCCCCTGGGTGCTGGCCCGTGCTGGCCCGGCGAGGGGAACCAGGCCGCAGGCCGGACCCTCCAGGTCTGCATGCGGGCGCACGACGGACCGGCCACGGGGAACGAGCCGTGTGATGTTCCCCTCCCCCACCAGCACCAGGTTGAGGTGGCGGTAACGATACAGGCACCCCAGGTTGCTCAGGATGTGGTCCAGCCGCCCACCGTGCGCGCCTGGAGGGAGGGTGGCGTGGGGGGGCTTGGGGGTTGTTGATGGGAAACAGATGGTTTGACCATGAGCCCAGCTCCTGTACGAGGATCTGCCGGGGTGCAGGTCCCCATGTGTGACCTGCACCCGTGGGACTGTGCGCGCACAAACCTCAACAACACGCCGCCCCTCCCCTCCCCACCCTCCTCCTGCAAAAGCACTCCAGCCCTGCAAACATGCTGGCAGCGCCTGGGATGCAGCGATGCACCCCATCCAACCACCGGCGCTCACCAAAGGCGACGATGTGCTGTGGCCTGGACCCGTGGGCCGCGGCGTATTCCACGCACTTTTGCAGGTCGGTGGAGTCCTGGTCGTGGGACAGGTCTGTGATGGCCACTCCGGCGTCGCGATAGTACGCCGCCACCTCCGGGCGGATGCTGTCCAGGTCGCCGATGATGGCGTGGGGGTGCGGCATGGGCACCGAGTCCGAGGCGTGGCTGGGGCCCCGCAGCTCATCGTACAGGCGGTTGGCGCCGCCGTCCGCGCAGATGCGCAGGGTTGCTGTGCAGGGAGGGTAGCATGGGGGATGGCAGTGCTGTGGGCTGCAGGGACGCCATGGGCAGGTGTGCATGGAGGAGCACGGGCATCCGCCATGCATGGAGCTGGGCTGCAGCCTGCATCGATGCTCCAGCGCACGAAACGCTGTGGCAGCAACGACACAAGGAAGGAGGTGCCGCACATCAATGGTGGCCTGCGGGCGCAGCCACGCCATCTGCTGGAACAGGTGCACCACCTCACCTCTCTGCCAGACCCTGGCAGCCAGGGAGGGCAGGGTCCAGTTCAAGAGCACCGCAGCGAGAGGCCTGCCGCTGGAGGCTGCATCTTCCTCCAGAAAGGTGCTGGTCAGCACTCGCGTCTGCCCTGCTCCCATCGCGCGTGCGAAGGAGGAACAGGCCGAGCGCGCTGACGCAGCCACCTGTCGGGGGGGGAGGCCGCAGGCCGGGCCCGCCCCTGGTCTAACGCCTTTCACCGCCAGCAACAGTCTGAATAGTCCTTTGAGGTTGAATGTTTACAGTGGTATTAGCTATGTACCTCCTTGGCATGGGGTGGAGGGCAATACATCAATCGCTCGTGGCCATGCGCGCCCTCCGGCCATGACACATTGTCCACGGCCTGCGCACCGGTCGTCGCTGGCTTACAAACTCCTTCCAGAAGCTCTGGGGCGATAATTCCCCATATGATACCACAGGTACAGTGTTTATGATGTCTTGAGGGGCCATTCGAGCTCCGTGTTGAAGTACGTGCGGGCTTGGATGTCTCGCCTTCACACGGGCAGTTCGCCAGGGATCAAAAGTTGCGATGGCGAGACAAGCAGCGTTTTATATCATATGTCGAAATTGTCTCGCATTCTATCTCCAGACTTGAATGCTCGCCCTTGCAAGTACGAAGTGGGCCGACAGGCATATGCATAAGGTCCCAGCGCGCGTGCACTCCTCGACACGACGGGATTTCCAAGGGTTACGGGCCGGGGCGTGCTCGCCCGATGCCCGTCGTGTGCAGCGCGACCCCTGCGAAGGGCGCAGAATTCACATAAAGGTCGTACTCGTACCCCCTGACTGGGGGTGTGCGCTCGAGAATGCGGCCCCGCCAACCCGACGCTCGACGCTCCGCCTTCGGGTCCTACTCCTCCCGGCGTAGATGTCTGATGACGAAGAGAGCCTTTGCACCGAGATATACAGTGATTTGTGCCCCCAGCTCTGCCTGGCGCATGCGGTGGCCCTCGTGTTGGACAACGGGGCTGAGTGGGACGCACAGGAGGTGGACACCAGCTTCCTACCACCGGACACCGGGTTGAGGTGAGAGGCTCGTGGCAGTCCCAAAGACATTGAATTATGAGTGACACATGTCTCTGCTAGTGCTGCCCGTTGGATGAAAGAAGCCCTGTGGGATTGTATCTGAGCAGAGGGCCCCAATGCTGCCCGCAGTATCCAAGCTGCTGAGGATGGTGCCATTGTATTCGTCGTCAAGCCTGGCCCCTCCAATGGCATGAGGGTGTGCTACGGCCTGGAAGGCTTTCCAGACGTGCACTGCGTCTTCTCAGCGCCAGAGGGAGTCCTCGCCGGTCGCCTGCCCCTGTGCAAGGAGTTCGTGTCTGAGCTCCAACGATGGATGGAGCACCTCGAGAAGCAGAGGCTCGAGGTGGGTGATCTTTGGATGGAGCGTGTGCTGTTGGTAAGGGGTGTCATCCCCACCCGGGTGATGTGGGCAGGGTTGGTTGTGGAGCCTAGGCCGTGCTTTTTAACCCATTACCTTACAATCCCCAGGAATATTTTGATGAGCTCAATGTTTTGCTGCGAACATCCTCCACGGCTAGCTCTGGACTGCACTGGGAGGAGAGCTGGGCCCGCCTGAACAATTAAGCAGGCCAATTTACCCCGCTGCAGTACTTGAATCTACCTCGGAGCGGTCAGTACACTGCTCTGTTTTGCCAGTTTTGAATGCAATAGAACTGCATGTATTCTGCACACTAAGCCTTTTCCAGTGAACCACTCCCCTAACTCTACATCCGCCGCAATGGCGGGCCCCCTTTGTTTCCCCCTCCGAGCACGGCGGCTCCTGCCCTGCCTGGATTCGAGGTGGATGCCTGACACCATGGGGGCGAATCATGCCGCCCCTCATGGCTTATACGTCTTCGGCGCATTGCACCTTGGTTTTCCATCCAACACTGGCTCCTTTCAAACCAGATTGCATCCAAATGGGTCTTGTGTCAAAAATCTTATATGCTATGGTATGGTGAGAGCCGAAAGTTCGTTTCACGAACCTGCTCCCGTTGCACTCGT